CCCCAATCAGATGTATGATTCCTGTACAGATGGGCTTTATTCAAAACAGAACTTTCACATTTGTATGAGGTCTCAGTTATCTATTTTATCTCTCACTATCTGAGCTGAATCTATTTTCACAGGGGTAGCAAGTATTTGAGCAGCTCTTGGCTTGTGAAGTTGACTGCCTTCCCTTCTCTCAGCCCCCAAGACAGGGGCCCAGGGGGCCGTAGGGCTGGACCTCGTGCCCAAACCACAGATCCCCCAGACCGCTGAACTAGTTCCTACAACTAGGCCTATTTTGAATTTCCACCACCAATTCCCTCCTGAGGACGGGTACTGGCTCTGACTGACAGCCTCCTAGGTGCCAAATGTAATCTGCCCCCATTCCCAACTGATATACTGCATCCTGAGATTCTGAGTGAAGCCTACAATCTCCAATTGGAAATTCCCCCACCAGCTTCTTCTAGAACCATCCTAGAACTCCCTCCGCCTTTGCCCACTGCATTGTTCATCAGCTGGACCTCTCTGCTCCAGTGTTTCTCTCAGACCACTGCTTGGTGTTGAACGGTTGGAAGGCAAGACTAGGACCAAGCGCCAAGGAGCCGAGGATATTGTGTTGAAAGCCTGCATTGCAATGATTCTGAATTCAGTTTCACTGGACATTTTTTGAACAGTCCTAGGCATAGTGGGATAATGAAGGCCCTGATTTCGTCGGGCACTGTCGCAAGTGCCATAAAGAGGTCTACACAGGACCATCGTGGAGGAGCAGGGGCTTACAGGAGGCGGAGGATGGGCCTTGAAGATGAATAACCGCCAAAAGAAGAAGCAGGGCCAATCCAGACACCTAGCAGGAAGTGAGGGATCTGTCGTCTGAGCCTACAGTTCAGAGGATTTGAGACAAGGGATGGTCACAGGGGCCCTCTGAGTGGTAAAAGGATCCAAAGGTCCATAGGTCCAAAGGGAGCTCTGGAGGGCAATGAGGGTGGAAACTACAGAATGACCAGAAGAGACCATGACTGCATAGTGGTTTCCCCCAGCATGGAATGTCTGCAGACTTAAGGATTGGCATAGGGCCCACAGCTGAAGGACCCTTCTAGGATGTTCTTAAGCATATCCAGCAGCATTCCAGGCAGACATCACCACACGTTCTGTTGCCGTTAGCTGTCATCAAGCACCTCCAACTCCTGGCAAGCCTGTGCCTGGGTGGAGCAGAACGCTGCCCAGTCCTGCTCCATCGACAAAATGGACTGAGGATCAGACCGTGGGACCCATCAGGTTTTCATTGATATTTTCAGCAGTAGATTACTGGCCCTCTCTCCCTAGCCCATGCACCGAAACCCCTTTATTCTTACAGCATCTGATTACAGATGGGGTTGGTGCTAGAAATCAAACTCAGGTGTCCTTCGTGGAAGGTGGGACTCCTACCACTCGCACACTCAATTGTTCAGGGGTGGCGGGTGGGAGGAGGCGTGTCACCTGACTTCCCAAGTCCTCCTCAATACTACTTGGCCTACTCTACCTCTTCCTTCCACCATTAAGGTAGAAGTGCTTTCACCTCCTCATTACCAGATTTTATCTTGACTTGACCCTCAGAGCCCATGATCTTTCTGCAACTTTTGGTACAATAGCCTCTTGTTTTTCTTTTCTTTTTAATCGTTTTATTAGAGGCTCATACAACTTTTATCACAATCCATACATACATCAATTGTGTCAAGCACATTTGTACATTCATTGCCTTCATCATTCTCAAAACATTTGCTCTCCACCTAAGCCCCTGGCATCAGCTCTTCATTTTCCCCCCTCCCTCCTCACTCTCCCCTCCCTCATGAGCCCTTGATAACTTATGAATTATTATTTTGTCATATTTTGCTTTGTCCGACGTCTCCCTTCTCCTACTTTTCTGTAGTCTGACCCCCAGGGAAGAGGTCACATGTAGATCCTTGTAATCGGTTCCCCCTTTCCAACCCACTCTCCCTCTACGCTCCCAGTATCATCCCTCACACCACTGGTCCTGAAGGGATCATCCGCCCTGGATTTACTGCATTTCTAGTTCCTATCTGTACCAGTGTACATCCTCTGGTCTAGCCAGATTCGTAACGATTCCTCTTACGCTTTTTATGCCTTTTATTCTCATTCTTTTCCCTCCCAGTAACAGTGTTTCCTCAATGTTTGACTTCCCCTGTTGCCCTCCATTGTCCATCTCTTTCCCCATAAAAGTTTCCACATCTATTGGATATCTTCTGCCTTGGCCTTTCCTAAATACCAGGACCACTGAAAGAGCCCTTGGGCATCTTGAACTCCTTGTGTGAAAACCTGACCTTATCATCTCACGCATCACCTCTGCAAAACTTGCTTGCTTATAAACTCCTTTTGCTTGTCCTCCAGTGCTGGTGGCTTTGTCCCCTCTTTCTTTCATTCTCATCCATCCTTGCCTGCGGGGCAGTCACAGTTTCTAACTGGTGTCCTTGGACGCTCCTATTTTACGTCTTAGAGCCACACGATTCTTTCCTAGACAGATGATGTCCTGTGGGCCAGCCAGAACCCATTCGTGATTTCCTTTGTCGATGAGATGAAGTGCACATCCTCAGACAAGCTTCCAGGTCTCCTCAGGCTTCCCATCACTGCTTGACCAATCCCGTCTGTCTGTTTTCCCTTCTCATTACCTTTGCTTAAAACAAAATGCCCGGCTACCAACACAAGAGACTTCTGCTTTCACACTTCCCAATTTGCTCCATGGACCCATGGCCCAACGCCTTTTCCTCCCACGTCCCTTCTCACCAGCCCTCAGCAAGGCCATGGGAAGAAACCTATCTTTCTGCATGTGTGCATGGGTGTGTGTGAGAGAGAGACAGAGAGAGATAAAAGATCTCTCCCTTTTGATTTTTATCATACATCTCTAACAGGACCTTGTTTTAGTGGTGTGTATCTTTAGTTCCCTGGTGGCAGGCCTCAAGGCCAAGGGTTTAGGCCATTTTGGTTTTGTATACAGGTTTCCACATGAGAGCTTATAAGTATTTCTCTTTTGTATGCCTCAAGTTTCCTGACAGTCCACGACAACTCATGGCAACCTCCCCCATATGTCAAAGTAGAACTGTGCTTTATAGGTGTTTCAGTGGCTGATTTTTGGAAGTAGATCACGAGGCCTTTATTCTGAGGGACCTCTGGGTGGGCTTGAACTTTGTTAACCATGTGCATCACCCAGGGACTCTTTGCAGTATTCTTAAGTAAATGCATGAAGGTGATTTCACTCAGACTACAACAACCACAAAAAATAAGTCTTTCCTGATTTCCCGCTTAGAAAGCCAACTGTTAAAATTGCACAATGTAATCATCAGAGCCGAGGACAAAATGACAGATATTAATCTTTTATCCGCTTTCGTAAGTAATTCTGAGTCTTGGCCCCTGTCTACATCAAAGGCATCCTGCTGACCAGATGATGGCTTTGATAAAATATTCTTCAGATAGGGAGAAATCAGATCAATTATGCCATGGAATGTAGTCTTTCCCAATAGGTACGTTCTGTCAAGTCCAAACATTGTCTCTCAGCACTGCCTGAAGTATCCGTGTCTGTCTCTTCAGTACAAGTTTTCAACTCAGTAAGGGTGCCCTGTCTCTTTTGAGAAAAGCGCATGCTTGCCTCATCCTGCCAAAAGCTCCCCGGGGTAAAAAAGCAGGTCTCCACACGAACTGCTGCACAGTCAACAGTGTCCCTGACCTTGAGAAAGAAAAACACTGAGCAGAGGGTGCTCTTTCTTTTCTGTACTTTCAGAAATTTCCTCTAATCTTACACACAAGCTAACCCTCACTCCGTCGCTCACATGCACACCCCCCTGCAAATGAACCCCCTTCCAGGAGGGAGGAACGTGTGGAGTGGGACTTCCAAATACAGGAGAAGGAGTTGAATGGATTACGGCGAGCAGGTTGTTCTTCATTCAAGGAAGGAAGACTCAGAAGCACTCTATAGATTAGTTACGAGAAAAAGGAGCTGCTTCCTGCGTGCAAAACAATTAGGCGTATGATTAGACGAATCTTCTACGTTAACCAGACATAGACATTCATGAACTTAAAGTAAGTAGAAAGGCTGCTCAGAGATTCAGAGGAAAGGACTGTTGACAGCACAGCAAAACTGTAGAGTCAGCACACCTTTAAGGGTGAAATTGAGACCTGGAAATACAGAGGAACCGAAAGATCAGCTAAACGAGTAAGCCCTTAGTGTACAGATTCTGAGACCCAGCACTGCTAAGTGACTGCCTCTGGTTATTGCCGCAGCTGGACCATAACCCCAGGCTTTTGACCCAAGTTGAATGCATCGTTCTGCAATCCCACGGGTAGACAGTGTACAATAGCTGCTGAGAAAGATTTTAGTTGCGTAAGGATGGAGATAACATAGAGACATACACTGCAATGATCTCAGCTGACTTAATTGAAATCTCTCTCTCGCCAAGCAGATCAGAGTAAATGCTACTTTTCTATGATCTCAGTGAGACGGGTGGCTTACTCTGATGTTTGTGAGGCAGAAATCCTGTTACCTCCCAAGAAATCTGGACACATCTAAACAATTTGTTTTTGCTGCTTTGTAATCTATACAAAGTACAATGGAAAAAGACAAGAATGATAACATAGACTGAGAAGTAACAACGCAACAGGGAATCAAATGAGAAAAATGATAGTGTCAAAAATAAAACCAAAGCACGCTATTTTATGCATGGATATATTTTCTTAGATATATTTCTAATCGGTCTTCTAATTCATTCAACAAGTATTTACTGGGTGTCTGTGTGTCTCAGGCGCTGTTTGGGGCACGTAGGACACAGCGTAGTGAGGAAATGGAAGAGCTCTCGCCCGCATGGTGCAATTTACTAGACCAGAGGGGACCCGTATTCACTACCCTTTATCTTACTGCTCTTAGGACCCATTTTCCTTAGGTCTTGGAAGATATTTCATTTGCTCGCAAAATTGATTATGTCTGTCAAAGCATGTGAGTCTTATTTTCATGAAGGTAACTTTTTCTCTTTCAGGAAGAAGAAAATGACCATCCAGACAGTACTGGATATCCCCTTTCAGGTAAATGATTGGCTCAAATGGCACCTGGGGTTTCATATTATTGTTGTTGTTGTTGTTGTTAGATGCTATTGAATCAATTCCCTATGTACAACAGAATGAAGCACCCTCACAATTGTTCTTATGTTTGAGTCCATGATTGCAACCATGTGTCAATCCGTCTCGTTTAGGGCCTTCCTCTTTTGTGCCACCCCACACTTTACCAAGTGTGATGCCCTTCTCCAGGGACTGATCTCTCCGGACAACACGTCCAAAGTATGTTAGATGAAGTCTTGCCTCCTTTTTCCAATACAGACTCGTTTTTGCCAGCACCATAATTCAAACACATCCGTTCTTCGTTGGTCTTCCTTATTCAATGTCCAATTGTCGCCTGCATCTGAGGCGATTGAAAATGCCCTGGCTTGGGTCAGGCACACCTTTAACCCTCAAATGAACATCCTTGCTTTTCAACATTTTTCGTTTGCTCTCTTGACTGTTGTTTCCAGGAGCATTGATTGTGGATCCAAGTAAGACAAAATCCTTACCATTTTCCATCTTTTCTCCTGTATCATGATCAGCGGTTCTCAACCTGTGGGTCGCGACTCCTTTGGGGGTCGAATGACCCTTTCACATGGGTCACCCGATTCCTCACAGTAGCAAAATGACAGTGATGAAGTAGCAATAAAAATAATTTTATGGTTGGGGGGTCACCGCAACATGAAGAACTGTATTAAAGGGTCACAGCATTAGGACGGTTGAGAACCACTGATCATGATGTTACCAATTGATCTAGTAGTGAAGATTTTTGTTTTCTGTACATTAAGTTGTAACCCATATTGAAGGCTGCGATTCTTGATCTGCATCACAAGTTGTGTCATGTGCATACTTAAGATAACTGTTAATAAGCCTTTCTCTTATTCTGATGCTGCATTTTCTTCATGTAGTCCATCTTCTCTAATTATTTGCTCAACATAAAAATTGACTAAGTATGGTAAGAGGATACAACCCTGATGCACACTTGTCCTGATTGTAAGCCATTGTTTAAAATCCCTTGTTCTGTTCACACAACTGCCTCTTGATCATGTACAAGCTGGACATGAGCACCATGACGTGTTCTGGAATTCCCATTCTTTTCAAGGCTTGTCTGCCAGTTTGTTGTATCGTGGTGACCTGTGTGTTGTTGTTAGGCTGGAAGCTATATCTTTGGTATTTCAAATCCCAACAAGGTCACCCAAAGTGAACAGGTTTCGGCAAATTTTCCAGACTAAGAACACACTACAAAGATGTGTGTCTGTTTATTTCAGAATAATTAGTTGTTGAAAACCTGATGCATAGCGAAGCATTGTTAGATGCTGGAAGCCTAATGAACAGAAGCTAAACATTGTTTGAGATAGTGCCAGAAGATGAGTCCTTTGGATCAGAAGGCTCTCAAAATATAACTCAGGAAAAACTGCCTTCCCAAAGTAGAGTCAACCATAATTAGGTGAATGGAGTACAGCCTTTGGGACCTCCATGTGCTGATGGAACACAACTAAAATGAGAAGAAACAGTTGCAAAAATCAATAATAATTGGAACTTGGAATGTACAACATATGAATCTAGGATAATTGGAAGTTACAGAAATGCCCAACTCATAACCATTCTACACCAGGGCTCCTTAGTAGCCGATACTTGCTCATATACCTCTTGAGTCAACTCTGACTCAGGGTAACCTCATGTGTGTCAGAGTAGCATTGTGTCACACGGAGTTTTTCATCATTGATTTTTTGGAAGCAGGTCACCATGTCTTTCTTCTGAGATACCTCCGGGTGGACTCAAACCTCTGTCCTTGCAGTTAGCAGCCAAGTATGCCAACCATTTGTATTGACGGACTCCTCCTCCTGAGACAGAGCTATGTATTATCCTATGAAAGATTGGTCTTCCTCTTCTTTTTTAATGTTTCATAAGACCCAGAAATCTTGGCAAGTTTAGATGTTTTATTAATTAATCATTAATTAATCATTGGGAAAATATGGAGTAAGGGGTGCAAGTTTATAAATAGTTAAGCAGCAACAACAAAATGCCAACATCTACATCTTTTATTTATTTTCTCTCTTTTTTTAATTTAAAGATCATTTATTGGGGACTCTTATAACAATCCATACATCAATTGACTCAAGCATATTTGTACATATGTTGCCATCATTATTTTCTAGACATTTGCTATCTTTTGAACCCTTGGTATCAGCTCCTCTATTTTCCCTCCCTTCCCACCCCCACCCTCGTGACCCCTTGATGAATTAGAGATTATTATTATGTTCATATCTTACACCGACCCCTGTCTCCCTTCTCCTCGGTTTCTGTTGTTCATCCCCCTGAAGGGGTGTGTGTGTACGTGTGGTTATGTGTCAATAATCGCAATCGATTCCCTCTTCCTCCTCCTCCCTTCTTTCCCTTCTCTCCTCACCTTCCCCCTACCCTTCTGGTATTGCTACTGCCATTCCTGTTCCTGGATTTCGTGTGTCTTGCCCTCTTATCTCTTATCTGTGCACATTCTCTGGTCTTAACAGGAAGTGAAAGGCAGTACTGGGGTCATGATAGTGGGGGGTGAAGGAGCCTCAAGGAACCAGAGGGGTACTCTGTGTTTCATCGGTGCTTTACTGCACCCTGATTGACTCACCCCTTCCTGGTGACCCCTCTGTGAGGGGATGCTCCATTATTGACAAATGGGCTTTGGGTCTCTGTCCCGAACCCCTCTTTCTCAACAATATGGTTTTTTGTTTGTTTGTTTGTTTGTTTTGGGTCTTCTGATGCCTATTACCCCAGTCCCGGCAACACCTCATGATTGCACAGGGTGATGTGCTTCTTCCATGTGGGCTTGTTGTTTCTCTGCTAGATGGCCACTTGTTTAACTTCAAGCCTTTAAGACTGCAGGCGCTATATCTTTTGATAGCCTGGCACCATCCACTTTCTTCACCACTTTTGATTGTGCACTCATTTTGCCTTCGTTGATTGTGCCGGGTATGGTGAGCATCACAGAATGCCAGGTTGTTAGAACAAAGTGATCTTGCATTGAGGGAGGGCATGAGCAGAGGCCCAAAGTCTGTCCTCAGTGTATTGCCATATAAATATATGTATGTAGGTCAAATACCTTTGTTTTTATGAACTAATTTATTTACATGTGTACACACCTTTGCTTATACTTCTATCCATAGCTTTGCTTCCTAGATCATTCCTTTGTTTCCTCCTGCCCCACCATCACGCTCACCCTACTTCCACCTCTTAGTAATTCCTCTCAGCTAGATTGCTGTTGCTCCAACACCCCCAGGATCTCCACGTCCTCCTGTTGATTTTAATTCCCTAATTGTTCCCCTGTTTAGGATATGTGTTCATCGTTCCTTCCCCCTTCACCTCCTTCTACCCCCCAGACCCTCCGAGACCATCAGTGCCATTACTTTCTCCTCAAGCTTGCTTCCCATGCCTATCTTACGTAAGTTGGCAACCTAGCACTAACAGAGACCAAACAAAAAGAAAACAAAATATTGAAAAGGAGAAAAAAAAGACAAAGAAAGAAAGAAAGAAAGGAAAAAGCCATACTGCCAGGTCTGTCCACTGACCTTTATGACTGTCCCCCCACTGGTCCTGGGGAATTCCAGGAGCTGCCCTCCTAGCTTAAAGCCTATTTTGGCTTTGTGGCCTTGCTTTGCTCCTGTTGCTGATCTGCTGTGTGTCCTTAGTATTGTCCTCTGTTTTGGTATGATCCAGTGAGGGGACGTCATGCCTTGAGCTGTTGTTTGCCCTACAATGCTCTCTGTGCCTTAGCAGCTCCGTGCAGGGAAGTAGTCCTCTGGGCTTGGTGTGCCAATTTAGGGCCTAGACTGTCATTTCTCTTTTGCCTTCTCGGTTTGTTTTCGTGTGGGTGTGGCTCTTCTCCCCACCCTGTAGGCTTAATGTTGTTCTCTGCAGCACATGCTTCAAGGGAGGGGGATCAGTTTGGTTCTGATTGGGGCCCGCCCTGTAGCCCAATCCTTTCATGCATTGCTCCACTTGGTTACATTGCCCTCCAGGTTGGGTGTGCTGTGCTGGGGTCTGTATGCACACTCCCAATTCTGTGGAGACATAAACAGTATTCTTCCCCTGGGTGGGTTAGTGCCTTGTTCCCCCCCCCTCCCCCAACTGTGCCATGATCTCTCCCTCCTCCCTTTCTTCCCTCTCTCTTCCCTTCTTTGTGTTGGAATAACATGTATCTCCTTGGGTTTGGTCCACCCTTCTCCCTACTGCCTATGCTGTATAGTGTGAGAAAAGTGGATTTTCTTCTACGCCTACTGTGCTGATTATACTTTCCTCTGGGGATCCATGCTGTACTTGTTCTTTTGTGATTGGCTAACTTCGCATCATTTCCCCCAACTCTCCCCATGAAACGATGCCCTTCATGTGTTCGTTAGTGCTTTTTAGTGATGCGTAGTACTCCATTGTGTGTATGTGCCAGAGTTTATTAACCCACTCATCTACCCGTGGAAATTTAGGTTGTTTCCAATTCTTTGCGATCGTGAATTATGCCGCACTAAACACTGGAGGGCAGAGAACTGACTGTGGTCTATTTCTTACCTCTTCTGGGTATATGCTGAGTAAACGGTAGCTGAGTCATAAGGTAGCTCAATTTCCATTTGCTTTAAATATCACCAGATCGCTTTCCACAGAGGCTGTACGTATCTACATGACCACCAGCAGCGGAGGAGCATTCCTATGTGGCCACTTCTCCTCCAACATTTGTTGCTCTCTAATTATCTGATTTGGGCTCGCCTCAAGGGCATCTCATAGTTATTTTCATTTGAGTTTCTCTGATGGCTAATGATCAGGAGCATTTTCTCAGGTGGGTTTTTTTGTTTTTGTTTTTGTTTTTGGCCATTTGGGTCCCCTTCCTACTGAAACTTATTTTCAGGTCTTTTGCCACTTCGTCAGGTGGTTAACTGTTTTCCTTTTTCTGCAGGCTAGGAGGGTATTGTGGATTTTAGTAATAAGCCCTTTGTCTGTTGTGTCGTTGC